ATATATATAGAGAGAGAGAGAGATAGGTTCACCATTTGGAAACTTTACCAAATCTATTTATAAGCTGGTTTTGACAACGTATATTGTATAAACTTTCAGTCTTATATGGAGATGTGCTTGGAGGTTTATGGTAAAACACAATGGTTTAGTCAAGGGCATAAATTAAAACACTTTCTTCAAGGAAATCAAATGATTAAAACATCCTGAAGTTTTTAAATTCTTATACCACTCATTGAATAGTGAACTGGTTGCTTATGCGTTTTGGGTTCTTAATTATCTCAAATTCACTATATAGAACCTCCATCAAGTCCATTGGATGTCAGATTTGTGAATATAGGCAGCAGATCAGCCAGAGTTGTGTGGAGAGCGCCACCTAGTGTCAATCCACCAATAGTATTATATATTATTAGATATTGGAAAAAATCAGGTATGTAGAAAGTTTTGTTCAAAGATTAAATTTTAGTGTTTCAGTACCTAGTGTATTTAACAAAAAAATCTTCAAATGCGTAAATATTGTAGTGACATTTGAGCAATTTATTTCTGCACTTATGTTAGGCTCAGCTTACAAGTTACTTATGATACTATAAAAGGTTTTGTTGTTTTTTAAAGGTTCTATGTATGAAATGTAAATGTAACCACATCTTCATTCAGATGTTTGCGATTCCAAGTAAATTAAAAGTTAAATTCTTACAAGAACATCCATTCTTACAAATAAAATCGAACGAGATGACGCAGCATTTGGTTATTTTCCACGTTTTTTCGATGATAAAACTTAGTAACTTGCAATTCAATCTAATGTAAATTGATTTAGTAATAGCTGATCCAAGATTCTGTCCTCTTGAAATAATTATAACGATATTGGTGTGCTTGTTTTCAGACTTAACGATCTATAGTGTAGTTTGCCATCAAGCCAAGATTAACAAGTGTGCTACACGTTTTTCTGTAAGTTGCCTAAATTCGTATATTTTCTATGCCTTTTTCTGTAATAAGTGGCGATATTTTTCAGGCGCACTTCAAGAAATCTCCGTGTCCAACACCGAAACAACAACTCTGCTCAACGATCTTCATGCAGGCTTTGAATATATTGTTCAGATTTTAGCAAAGAATGATGTCGGCGTTGGTCAACCCTCTGAAATGGCTACCTTCACTACGAAAGAGGAAGGTATACATCAATTTCAATCTTTTCTTTTTCTTTTTGAATATGTACAGACAGTTTAGAAGATAAAGAAAGAAGAGGTATTTAGAAAGCTGGAGTTTTTTTAAAGTCAAGTTCTAATCGTCTTTGTAGTATAATAGTTTTTAAAGTTGTAGAATTTAAATTCTTAGAACCATAACAATAGCAAGGAACAATTTTTCTATATGAGTAAATAAGTCAGGGCTATACAGACAGTTCAAATATATATATATACATATTGTTTTTATTTTAGAACCAGACATGTCACCAACTGATCTCTTGGTAGAACCTGTCGATTCTCATAGTTTACAGATATCTTGGAAGGTATGTCTTTCTTTCTAATACTCGCATGTCACGCACCCGCCATCCTAAATCGAAAACGAGACTCATAACGTAAAAAGAAAACAATGGTATCTTATCATTGTTTTGTTCCAATGGGCAATAATGAAGCACAATACAATACTATTGCTGTAGATGCTAAAAGAAGAAAACAGTATTTTGCAAAGATCCGACGTGGTAAAGGACTTTTATGTTTGGTAAATAATGCAAAACTAAACTGCAAATTTACCTAGCCTAATTCTAGTAATTGGGCTTGGGCCTATGCAACCTAGTTCTGGGCCTGTAATAAGGCTATATGAAATTTTAAACATACATGTATATAGGAAATTATAGGGTTGAACAAGCCTTTGTATTCAATATTCCTAGCTAATCTACTTAATATCTGCGTTTAAATATCTAATATTATCTACATAAATATAATAGCACTGTCTTTTGTATGTCCATGTAACTACTTCGCAAGGTGGTTTGTTGGGTCCATGCGAATATACACGCAAATTTGCGGTTTCACATTCTACATTTTGCAATTTTTATTGGCGTTTTTTGCGTTTCTTAGAATTACATATAAGGGAAGCAACTTTTCATGTCCTAAGATAACCTTTCATTAATCATGAATTTACATAACTCCCGACCAAGGGACGGGTACTGCAGCTAGTATCTATATAAATATGATGGCACTGTCTGTTGTATGTCCATGTAACTACTTTGCAGGGTGTAGATGGATCTTCACCAAAACTGGTATTGACGCTCATTAGCTCCATGCGGGGATACACACAAATTTTCAGTTTTGCATTGTTTACCACTACTTTGCCCCCTGTAGATGGATGTTCACCAAATTTTGTATAGAGTTCCATTGGGCCCATGGGGAAATACATACAGATGTTCAGTTTTTCATTTTGCGTGGGTGTTTTTCGATTTTTAACACTATTTCGCTCCCTGTAGATGGATATTCACCGAATTTGGTATGGTGGTTTGTTGGGTCCATGCTGAGAGACACGCAGATTTGTGTTTTCAAATTTTATATTTTGCTATTTTTATATGCTATTTTGTGTTTCTTACAATTAAATATACGGGAAGCAACTTTTAATGTCCTAAGATAACTTTTCATTAATCAAGAATTTACATAACTTCCGTCCAGGGGACAAGTACTCCAGCTAGTAATGAATAAAGTTGAAATTGGCCATTTAACACAGTGTCGACCTATCCCATATCAATGCATAGGCCTAAAGTGAATTCACGTGACCCCCGGCACATAGTACTGTATATTTAACTTACAATGGAGTTTTATTCGTCAAATTATGCACACACAATACCAAATAATTAATAATCAATTTTGAAATAAAAATCACAAACACGATAATAAATGTCTGGAGTAGATATGCAGTTTTAGGCCGATGTCTATGACACAAAATGCGACGAATGACTTACCTTCAATAATCATGTACGTATGGCCCATGGAAAACTTGTAGTTTTTAGTGAGGTGTTTTGCAGACAGTTTTGTTTTGAATGTCTCTCAATGATTGAAGTAACGTCACCCATTGAAATATCGGGTACAGTAGCTAAATTTATTGTCCATTTAGGATGCCTCAGGCCTTTGTTTGCAGTTGCCATTGTTTACGACAGGCTTATATGCGACTGAACGACTGAATGAGGCATGAATGATGAATATAGAGAATAGGGCCTTCTATTTAAAAGTGATGTGGTGAAACTCAAATTTTTCACATTTGAGGCTAATCCTGATATTAGTTTTAAAAAATAATATAATAAACTACTTGTTCAGTTAGAAGTACAACTTATAATTATATCCACAACAGTGTAAGAACTTTTGCGTTATGAATTTGTCTTTGTTTAAGGCTTAGAGCCGTGTATTAAGTGCTACATTTTTTTAGTTTAATGTTTATTCTATTGAATTTGTTCTCCCTTTTTTAATGGTGCCTGCTATGGAAATGTGTCTTTATCTGAATGTATCAAATTTTTAGCCAAAAGACACTCACCTTAAAGTGCAAAACAATAACATTATTAAGTACCACAACACACTTTTTAAGTAACATCAAAAACTTTCCCCAGCATTATGATGCAAACATAATATTTATCAAGTAAACTTTACATTATACTTTGATGAAAATTAAGTATTTATTTTGATTCTTAAAATGTTAAATGCCTAATATATATAAACTGTATACACTTCATACAGTCGTATTATTTATCACAGTTTTTTAGGGCAGCTACAATGAGAGAAAATAGAAGACCAAGAAAAAACGTCAACATATACAAAAAGTATTTGCTCAGGGGAAAAGACTGAAATATTTTTTGTCTTCTAAATATTCACTCATAATTATTTTTTATTAGCAGAAACATGCATAACTGACAATATACAGCATCTGTCCATTGATAATATTAACAAAATATATTTCTTACACATACAATTAAGATATTATAGCATAATATAAAATTACAACACATTTTAATTGCATTAATAAATTCCAGTTATGTGCAGGTATGTGGAATAGTGGGCAACTAATAATAAGAAGTAATAAAAAAAATGTTGCAAAAATTAAGTATGATGTAGGGATGACAATGCCATAAGGTACAGAAACAAGGTAGGGATGAATACACAAAACCATACAAAAATCTACACAAGTACCCAGTAAGTACTGAGTCAATCTTAAAAGCTTATGGTTATTAGTCACTGTAAGACTGTATAGAACTATTCAGTTTAAATGCTTTTATTCAAACCTGAATTCATGCAACTGACATGAATTCAACATTCAGTTATAGATAAAAGTTATTCTTGGAAAGATTTGGGTACTGTAAACTGTCATTGACCTTCAAATATTGGCAGATGTTCTTATATGTAGCATAATGTCTGCTATCTGAGTTGCTGTTGAAATGGTGAAGAACTAAACACAGCAATTTCACGCTCAAGCCAAGATCTTGCCTTTTTGTGTGTGAAAATAAAACACATTATTCAAGATGGCTTCCATTGTATATCCTTGGTGTATTTCATTTGCCTCCAAGGGTTCAGAAAGATTTCAAAGCAGGTCATTTCTCAGTTTTTCAAACATCAGGATATTTCAATTGAATACTAAGTATTGATTTGGATAGAGAGAAAATGGCTATCAAAGACTGCAAAATGAAAGAGTGGAATTATTGAACTAACATACAAGAAACCAGTGCACACCAGTAATCTCTTTTGGCAGCAATGGATGTAGGATAGAACTTAATGGTCATTTTTCTGTACAACAGAAGGAAATGGTAATTTCTACAGTCCAGTCAGTGAATCCTCATAGGAAACACTTATTAATATGAAAAAGAAGTCAAACATTGAAACTCAAGCTGGAAGCAAATTTGGCTCAGTTAGCCTAGAATAAGTGTTTCGAAGAGCCCTTATTGTTGCATAATGCCAAAAATTTATTTTTAGAGCCAATTCTGAGTCATCTAATGAGAGCTGTACTGGCAAGCATGATCTACAAAGATGAAACAATAAAAATAACTAAAAAATCAGAGCTCCCATATGTCCTGGAAACACATGCAGAGGGTATTGTTCATCATTCTAACCTACTATTTAAGTCAGTACTGTGTATGTCTAAGATGCAATGGCTTTTTATACAAGCAATGGATGGAAGTAATCACAAAACCTTTGATGACCTGGGATTCTTCTATGCTATCATTGGCATAATTAGAAGGTATAATGTGACTTTTTCTGTGAAGGCTAGTGAGTGTGCTCTTAGGAATGGACACAAAGTAGGTAGAAAGTTGTAGAGTGTAGTGGAAAGATAATCAATGCTACATGAAAGAACTTCCTAGAGGTTCCAGATAGCAAGCACATACAGTTCTTGTATAATTAGATATGAAGATCATGCAAGGACCTGTTTGCAGAACACCCACTAAGAGCTCTTTCTCTAGTAGGATGCGGCAATAGAGAAGAAGAGGTAAATATAATGTCTTGTTTCATACAATGCATGTAAATCAATTTTTGAGGTTGCTGGAAAACAAAGAACAGTCATCTTAAATTTCCCAGACACTGACGAATTGGTGTTGAGAAATGAAGAACATCTCCTAAGTACAGATAGAGACTGGGGTCATCACATTGTTTTTAGACAAGTAAAGGTACATACCTACCCATAAAATTAGTCAAATCGTTATAAAGTGATCTGTGGTATTTTGCCAGAAGCATGTAATTAAAGGATGTAATGTGGTTTCATCATTGTTCAACATTGGTAAAAGATCTGTAATGAAGCTGATATCAAGTCATTTAGAAAACTTTTTAGATCTCACACTCTCAGAGTCAGACAGTTTCTGCAGTGAAAAAAAAACACAGAAACTGGTCACTGCATTGTACAATTCATTAAATAAGTAAATGAATTACCATACTGATTTTAAGAAGATTAAAACAGAATTAGCCAATAATAAAGATACCTCGTAAAGAAAGCTGTATGGCAGCAAAGTATAGAAAACTCACACAGCACTCATCCAGATTTGGTAACTTCTCTTGACTATGGGTGGAAACAAGAAGATGGAATCCTTTCCATGGTCTGCTATGAAGGTCAGTCTCAGTGCCTTTGAAGTTACTTAGATTTTGATGTTTGCACGTAGTTGCAGACAGACATGCTCAGAAAGACATTCTGTCACCAATTGTTCTTAATGTAAAAACACGATCTGACCTTCAACTATCAGAAAGCTAGGCAGAATTAATCATGATTGTTATTGTCGTTTGTGAGTGGTCAAATGGAACATTTAGCTTCCTTATACCCAGAAGGTGTTAAATTAATATTTTGTACTCTCTGATGCCTTTATGAGTTCATCTTGTATGTTTCACCAGTATTACTCTAACATTTTTGTACGCACCATTACTTTGTTTTGACAGACTTTACTGTTATTCTAGATTATTCGCATTTTTGCTCCTTTAACTTCTGTTTATACCATCCTGTTTATATTTTTTACAAATTTTAGAAGTAAATAATTGTTGGGCTTATTACTTATTCACATAGGTAAATATGATCATGCATTTGATGTAAAATTATACGTATTATAGCCACCACCACCAGAGAATCACAATGGGCTGTTGAAAGGATACCATATAGGGTACAAAAAGAAAGGCACCACATCATCGTTTATGTATGAAACTATCCCCACAACAAACAATAAACTACAACACATGGTGCTTAAAAATCTTCAGCCTTCTACGAGCTATACAGTAATAGTGAAAGCCTTCAACAGTGCTGGGACTGGCCCACCTTCAGATGAGTTTGTGTGTCTAACTTTACTAGGAGGTAAATCTATTAAGTCACTATCTGTTTTATTTCAAATAATGTAGTATTCAATGACTATTTTACATTGTGCTATTACACTAATATCTCAGTGGCTCAGCGGTAAGTCCGAGGACTTATAACGCTAAAAATTGGGTTTCATTACCTGCAGTTGATAGAGCACAGATATCCCATTGTACAGCTTTGTGCTTAAAAATATAACTAATTTTTGGTGTATAAAATTTTAAAAAACATTTTTTCAAGATATAGTCATAAACTTAAATTTGAAATAAAATGTAATTTATATATATATATAATTTCCATTTGGAATTTTAAAGATCCTCCACCTCCACCAGAACTTAAACTCCAGGATGTACAATGGAATTCTGCTACTGTCACCTGGTCACATCCAAGAGATATGAAAGGACCTGTATTTCGTAAGTAATACTGTACTACTTCATATTTGATGTCAGAAAAACGTGTAGGTTTAAGAAGTTTTAATATAAAATTATAAAAATAAACCTTTAACCTGAGCAGTTTTGAAAGGTGAACCTTTCTTCTTCACGGGTAAACTAAGAATGTTTACATGATGTTAAACACAGTTCCATCACCATGGGGGGAGACTGTCTATCCATGTTAGATTCTGTGCTACCCCAGTTTCAGATTCCAAATTAATATATAAATTCAATGACAAATACAAATCAAAAATTAAAATAAAGTATAATTAAAGCTCAACATAATAATAATAATACATTGCTCAGATGTTAAGGCTTCTAATGTCTTATTTTATTACCAGTAACTGAAAAAAAATTTACATTTGTATGAATGTTTCATAATAATATGCTGTCATATCATTTATTAATCAATGTACAGTAACATATAAAAGTAGTGAATACTAGATAATTGATTTCGGTTACCTTTTCCAAATTCCCCCCCTCCCCCAATATTAGTGAACACTCTCCATGGGTCACACATGTTACCATCGGGACTGGTCTAACAATATGCATCTCAGTGATGGACTTAAACTAAAACATGTGCATGGAAAAATAAATGTTAAATATTACAAACAGAATTTCAGAGCATTTTAAGATTAATTATTTATTTAAAAACTTTGAATTAATTTACCAACTGGTATCTGAAGTAGAATTGTTTCCCCTTGTTAGATATATCTGTATATTGTTATCAAAATCAGATGATAATGAGTGATTAATCCACAACTTCGGACCTTAAAGTCGGGTGTCTTCTGAACAACAGGCTTAACAGTTCAATCAAAATAATGACGCTTTTGTCATTTGTTTGCTACCTTTAATCATTTTAATGTAAATATATATATTTCTGATTTTATACTAACTGATTATATAAATACTTAAACAACTTCAGATGAACATCTTACGGAGCTTCCAAACCCATTGTTTTAAGAATAGTAACAGAATGAAGATTTGAAATCTGTTTGTGATTATTTTAACAGAATATAGAATATGAAAGTATGTGTTTTGTTTGTTTTACTTTTTTTTTACCTTTGTTTAAACCCCAAAGCTGTACTCCTTCATAATAATGTAAATTGGAAAACTATAAGGATTTTCTTATTCCTAAGAGTACCTGTTGGAATATGGAATTTCTGCTAACAGACAACAAAAACTTCACATTCCGGGATCAGTTCAAGAATATACCATCCAAGATCTTAACAGTGGTCAACATTACACCATTCATATAGCTGCTTACAACAAGTTTGGATGTGGTAAATTCTCTTCTCCCTTACTGGTAGTCATTGAAAGGAAAAAAGGTATATTGTGCACATACTCTTTCCTTCCCCGTATTGAATAATAGCAAATATAGACCTTATTTAAACTCAAATAAGAGCCTGTATTTTATTATTAAAACTAGAATGTGACAGAAGTTTATTAGTTTTTCCTTTTAGGACAGTAAGGGTTTATTTATTCAATTTGCAAACAGATAGACCAAAATTTGATATTTAATTTCTTTTAAAGTATATATATAAAAAGAGGAGTTTCTAAACAAAGGTCTCCTACATCTTTAATAGAGTTGTATTAAACTTAAGGTGCCCAGTATTACTCTAGCATTACTGGAGAACCTTGGTCTTTTGCTTTTATAAGTTTTAAGACTAATAAAATATCATTCATACATTAAAATTTTGCCTCCATATTTATTACTCTATATTTTTGCCAGATAGGGTAGAGAAAACAGCTTCTTATTTTACAAGGTTAAAACATCTTTTTTTTTATTAACACTATTTTTAGGATCTGATCTCAGAACATCAGCAACCCCTGATGCAATGTCTTTTTACTTTGAGCTGTATTTTGTTATACCAGTAGCAGCCTCAGTTACGGTCGTCATCTGTGTTGTAGTGATTGCTTGGGCTTGCCTTAAAAGAACACGGTTTGTTCAAGGTGTGCAAATATGATACAGTTTGTGTCGTTTTATAAACAGAGTTCAAAGTTTTATTTGATTTCCACTACTGAAGTGACAGAAAAAAAGGTTAAGATTACCTTATGATTAATATGTAAGAAAGAATAGTCAGGATTAATTACATTGTTAATACATAAAGAATTGAGATTAAGAACTGGAATTAATTATGTAGCTAAAATGATCAGCTCTAATGTGATATATATAATATTAGAAATGAGTGTAAAAATGTAAAATATAGCAAGTGCTGTATCTGACATACGTAACTTCATAAAGATATTAATTCTCTACATCTAATATAAAATTTTAATTTTTGCAAGAAACATGTAGCTCAAACACCATTTTAATTTTAATTTCTCCATACTCTCAAATTTTCAACCAAGTTCAAACTAACCTTCAGCTATCATAATCATGACATACCTGTTCAAATAAATTGTAAATGTCTACTAATCATTTTCAGAACAGGGTTAAATAAAGCACTAAATCCAAATAAACTGGAAAAGATTAAAGCAGATTTCCTTAGAAATCTGATGAAAGAGTTTATTTTGTTGATCTGTCCTGTCCATTCATTGAAAAAGAAGAAATAAGCCTAGATTCTATTATTAGTCTGTTTAGTTATTAACTGATTTATTCAGGTTTATATTGTAAGTAATAAAACCTTCAATGGTGTTCTGGATATAACTAAACGTTCAAATAATGCTTTACCTTTTTACATTTGTAGTCACAGTGTGTTTAAGTACTTACAATTTTGTAGTAATCTAACGGAACAAAATAGCCAACTTACGTTTAATGTATTTGAATTTATGCATGATTAGTGAAAAATTCATTCTCATATTGTTTAGTAGTAGCAAACTGATCATTTAGGAATTTGTTTTTTTATCCTTGTAAAAGTTTGGTTGCATTAATTAAAACTTCCTCTAAACTTTTCTCAGTGAAAAAATCCTCGCTGTATGTTGCTTACAAACAACGTGCATCATGTGCTTCAGTATCGGGAGTTTCAGCATCACGTAACAGCAGAGTATATGATGTAGCATGGGAAATACCCAGTGGAACAGTGGTAACTAAATCTTTGTTGTTATTTATTTTAATATAATAATGTTCTAAGTGGGTTATCCTGAACTAGGATGTTTTACTTAATGCCAATTGTTAAAATCTTGCTGGTAAGATTCTCAAAGTGGCCACTCTGTACTGTTTTTTTTTTCCATTCTTCATTATTGTGTAAATATGCATTCTCAAAATTCATGAGATTCATCTTACATTTTACATAACTCAATCTCTTCTGTATATGAACAGTGTTATAAGAAGCAATATTGTAGTATGCACATAGGAATGGGTTGAGGGGAGACTAGAATAATGAATATATACTTAATTATGTAATCAAGTTCACACAAAGTAAATTCATGAAGAATGATAAACACTTTTCAGTAGGAATATACGTTATAATATTGGTATTTAATTAACATCTTTTTGACCAACAGGAGTAGGTCATCATCGTGTTATATGTCATTACAGTTGAACTTTAACCTGATGCTAACCTGTTCTTATTGTGGTGTTCTAGGGTGACCTGGAAATACTTTGGAGCTATGTCAGATAAGTCTGCCAAAAGGGAGATTTGATCAAATTATGTGAAACAATACTGAACTTGTACAAACTGAGTTAATGCTAAAGAATAATTAGACTGGACAAAAAGTGTAAAACATGGTGAAAACAATGTTCTATAGACTTAAACAAAAACACAGTATGTGTACTTGCACTACATATGGTCATTTCTCTATCAAAACCAGGATCAGACTGGGAGTAATATTAACTAAACAAAAAGTATCTACCTTCAAAGAAACCTTGCATTTACCTAGTGTGACGTTAATACCACATGACTGGTCATTCTTATTCCATGAGTGGTAACAGGAATTACCAAATGACAAAGGAAGGAAAGTAATTTTGAAACAAGATCAACTTAATGGTTTTCTTGACCACATATTATGTGAAAATCTACACATATACAGAATAAAGAACAGATTCAGAGTAAATATTAATAATACATAAAGAAGAAACCTACGGTACATTCCTATACCACATTTCCATCAAGCCAATAATTAATTTTAATTTTCACAATAAACCTTAAACTCATGCTGGTCAAGAATTGCATTAACCTTATTAGGTTTCCAAACACTTGCACATCCCACAGATGTCACAACCATTAAACAAAAATATGAAATGGCAAAAATGGCATTAAACAATGAATTTGTATATTAATATAAACCCTTTAAACAATAAATTCAAATATAAAAATCAACAATAAATGCAGAACATAATTGTCTTTGTACAATAAATACCTCAAACACGTATATAAATATGCCCTTTAACAAAGAATAAATGCAAAAACTGTACAATTTAAGACAGACGCAAGTACATATACATATATACAATGTACCCTTCAATAACAAAACCATTATTAAAATATAAAATCTATTAACATAGATGATAGTGTCAATGCCCTGTAACACAGATATTTTTCCTAAAAGGTAAGCAGCTTCATTCAAATCAGTTTACCCTGTTTAGGTCGACTAGATGGACTTTTCCTCTGGCTGGCACTCACCGTACAGTATTCACACCAATATTGAATGTCTGGACTTGAATGTGTCCATAAGAATTGCCATTAAATGTCAGCACAAGTTTGTGTAACACCTTTATGTCCTTTAGTCTTCGTGTAACTCAAGGCCTGTAGAATTTTGTGCCTCAGAACTCTGGGAACTACTAGCTAAACTCAGGTTGAGAAACATTGCTTGGCAGTTGGTAATGATAGTACAGCACACCTTCTTGCACTCACAACTGACTGAGTGACGTAGGTTATGAGCATCCATGCTACATCCCTCAATCTGAGTTGGACACATGGAATGGAATGGAGCACACCCAATAAATCTGGGATTTTCAGTTACTTTATCCAGAGCTTCTGATGCATTAATTGTGGCATCCACCCACTGGTGAAATTTCATACTTTATGGTCTATTGTTACAGCAGAAATGGTATTAAGTCCTCCACAATGTTAGGGATCTGAACATTCAATGAATGGACAAGGTATCATTATTCATTGAGATAGTCCATATTGTGGGCCCAAGTGATAATGTACTGATCAAATCATACTCTTACAACACTGTTATTCAGTGTGCTCTCATCCCTTTAGGGTTTTTAAAGTTCATCAGACAATTCAATGGTGTATGATCCACTCAAGCAGTAAACTTTCTACCATACAAGTAGTGTCAGAAGTGTTACACAGGAAAGCTGACTGATAACCTTCCCAGTACATCTATTACAAGAATGCAGTGCCAATAATGAGACAGTTAATATAACAACCATCGTCTTCATATAAGTGACTGCTCTTGTGTAGCTCTTACATTTGCTTACAAATATGCTCATCACAAGGCCCATCCATTCATGAAAAAGCTAGGCTAATCATCACACTTTTATGTTCAAGTTTTTCATCACATTCTTCCAAGTCTGTGGCCAGATTTGACTTGGGCTCATCTAATTTCTAGATTTACAGCTGTAGTATTCACTGCTTGCTGTTTGCTCTGAAAAATTTGTAGGCTTGTTGTTCAAGAATGATAGCAAGTTCCTTCTTGCTGTCTGGGAACATAGGGGCAGTTCACCCAAAAGCAACCTAACTCCCCACCACAAGCAAAACATATGCTTTGCCTCTCCCGCCTAGGATGATGTCCAGGTGGAGGTACTGGCAAATGTTGTGGCATGTATACCACGGGAGTACCAGGATAGCATTGCCTATTCACTGGAAACCAGTGTGGCTGGATAGCAACTCTGGCATACATGGGTCGTTGGCTGACCCATGGCTGATTTTAACTCTGGTACAACATGGGAATCTTGGTAAAATGGCCTGCCAAGGGATGATGTCACTGCAAAGTTACTGCTATAGCCTTCTTCTTCTCCTGTGATCTCATTATGACAGAAACTGTTTCTATTAACTAAAGAAGGTCTCATACACTGAGATAGTATTGTATTGTCTCACTTGTCAACCCTTCCATGAACTTGTAAATGAGGATATCCTCATGATCTGCTGAGTCCATCACAGGGTAAGCTATATCATGCAAATTTCACACATCATCTGCATAAGTGGTCAAGTTTCCTCTTTCAAGCCTTGGACTTGGCCCACTGGATTGCTTTGTTCTCCACTTGTCAAACCTTTGGCACAACTCAGTGATGACTGTCTCACAAGTTGCTCATTGTTCACATGCTCAGTCTAGTCCTGGACAATCCAGACTCAACACTTAGTATTGAACTGTCTGCTTAATTATCCAGGATTTCCAAAAATTTCTAAAACATTGCTGAAACATTCCAAAAAACAGTTTAGTTCCTCCTTTCTTTAAATGTTAGAGGAGTGGTTTGTTTTGCCTCACTCACTGGAATCTGTGGAACAACAAAACAACCTTCTTACGAGGTTTAAGACTTTGTCAACTCCATTTGTTACAAGTATTAAGGTGCCTTGATTCTCCAATGGTTTGTGGAATCCTGAATTTTGGGAACAAAGCAACAAGATGTATGCAGCAGCTCATTTCTGTTCTCTGTTGAACCCCAAATTCCTCTGAGAATCATTTTGATGTCAGCAGTATGTCTCCTAGCTTAGGGAGGCTCACCACTTCCCCCACAATCGATTTGTCTCTTGCTGTTTCACCTGCTGGTGATAGGACTGTGGTTGGCAGACAGTGTTCATCAATAGTACCTCTAGTCCTTCCTCCATGTGGTGTTGTGACCAGAGATGGGGTTGTGTTCTGGCTGGCATTGGCCTATGAGTCTTTTATAGAATCCCCTTTCCACCAAGTAGTCTTGGATTCACCAGATGACACAACTCCACAGCAATCCTCATACTCCATTGTCATCATATCAAAGTCAACTCTTAATGGGAGAACCTTATCAACTGGTGATTTCGGTGCATCAGACATTAAAAGTTATTCCTGAGTCATGGGCCACAATGAGATTGTAGTCATACACCTTTACAGCAGTGGCAAAAGACATACATCTAAGCAAGGATTTCTCCTTAACATGACTACTCTTTCAGATGGTTGTCTCCCCTTAGTGACTGACTCTCCCTCTAGGTTGTATGCCCATCTTTTCATTGAAAGTGTCACTTTAAAACAAATAAAACTTTTTAAACATTTACAACCAAAAAGTTCAAGCTAAAGACAGTACACATTCCAGCAACTATAAGCAAAGCCCACAATAATCAATATCCTGTTGTCACTGCACCAAAATTTCTTGTTCTTTATCTACTCACTTCTTTACCTGGCCAAATCCAGGATCAGGCTCTGATCAGACTTGGAAAATACTAACTAAATGAATGGTTTCTATCTCCAAAGAAATTTCAATTTTACCTAATGTGACTGTTCTACCATGTGACTGGTCATTCTTATTGCACACAGGTGGAGCCAAAACCTCTAAATATTACATGTATAACCATTGACTGGCACTGCCCTCAACTTCCTGAAACAAGATCACTCTAAGCAATGTTCTCTACAGGCAGTAATAGGTGTTATCAACTTTGAAAATTACAAAAATTACAAGTAATTTAAAATAAGATCAACCTAATGATTTTTTTTACCATGTGTTATGTGAAAACATGCAGATATACAGAACAAAGAATAGATTCAGGATAAAAAATAATAGCAAAAAAAAAGAAGAAACCACACTTATACCACACTATCTAACATATGTCATCATCAGGTTACACACCATTATATTTGAAATTTAACCTGATGTGGCCTACTTCTATAACTTCATTAAATATTAAAACATGTTCTTATTGTAAAGCTATTTATTACTCTACATGAATTCCTACTCACCCTTTACATCTTAAAGAATATATTATTTTATCAGGAGATTAAATAAGCTTAGTAAGAGGTAGTAAAAAACATTTAATTATTCAAGCTGTCCAACTACTATATTACAATTTATAACTAGATTGTAATTTTTCATGCTCAAATGGCTTTCAGTATTGTAATAAATAACTTCCAATTGTAAAGTGCTCATTGGCTGGATTGTGCAGATTGCTGAATTACTACATTAGTATCAATGATGCAAAGCAGTGTTACTTTAGTAAGCAATATATCTGTTAACTTATACTTGGAACCGGAAAATAAATATGATCATATGTTTTGAAGCAGCTGATTTTAGACAACAAACCTTTAAAAGTTTTACTAACAAAGGAACCCTCGAATGTAGCGATAAAGAAAGTGTAAATAGAAAATTAAATATCCATTTTGAATCATAATTATATACTATTATTTTTATAAAAATCTAATGCCTTATTTTTACAATCCTCATTGAAAGCTCAAATAATATGAAGAATTCATCACTAGCTGAAACAAAAAAATATTAAATTGAAAAATTAATTAAAACTGTTGTAAAGAGGAAAAACTTACCTTACTATTAATATTTTTAATGGCATGCTAATGATGTATTGATATAGCTAGATTTTTTGGGGGGATTTTGCAGGCAAAGTAAAATATTGTTAGAGAAATAATTTAGCCCTACTTTTAAGATTCCTCTTTTAAATATATATTTTTTAATGATTTACTCAATAATATGATTTATTCATATGACTAGAATTGAGGGATGGAAATATTTCTTGGAAAAAAGACAAGTGTCTAATGAAAAATAACTTATAAGTACAAAGAGTTATTTTTACCACCAGTATTTACAATGAATGGTTATGTTGGATTCTTTCTTTCAAATATTTCTACTCTTATAAGCACATAATTTAACTGCTACTATTGTTTTACCTAGCAGAAACCTTCAGTATTAGCACTCAAAAATGTAATTAAGGATATTTAACATAATAAGTCTAAAAACACTGTTTCAAAAGTGGATTGGTAATTATAATGGACCAATAGCTGCCTTTGCCTTTTTTTTTTTAAATTAACATTTTGTGTAGAGAATTTTCATGATCATGATGTAGTGTGTTTTAAAGATAAGTATTATTTGATATTTCCTTGAAAGAATTTAAACCTGTATTCAAATCACAATAATTTTCATATATTTTCAGCCTCAGAATGGGCCTCACTACACAAAGCTGAAACCTCCTTACGTCCTTTCATAACTGAGAACAGTGATGGATCAGGATTTAGTTCAGGAAACAATAAGAAAACAGTTTTATAGTTATTTACAAAAACAATCTTAATGTAAAAGTGTTTTTATATAACAAGTGCAGCTCTGAAGAGGATTCTGCTCAGTAATGTGTGGTATAATAGAAAGTAGTTTTCTCGTCAGCCTCATGACTCTTAAGAAATGTTTTTAATGTACACACATTGGTCTAAAAGATGAAAAAAGTTTTTGTGTACTTATTTATAAAAAACTCCTGTATTAAGACAACTTACTAACAAATTCATCACTAGAGTAGCTTTTGTTACTAGCTTGTCAAATTCGAAAGTTCGTGCTTTGATTGCTAAGTAACAAAACAAGTTGCAGGTTATAGTCCTTTTGGTTTCAGGTGATGATGTTGGATTCCGTTCTCAACAGGTTGGATGAGACATCCATAGTATAAATCTCCTTTTCCAAGCAGTGATTTGGATTAAGTTTGTAGATGAGTAGTATGATAGATCCATTGTAGGAGACTCCTGTCCAGGTGTTGATGACGTTGTCAGGTCACAGATGGGTTGGTTGAGAAATCTATAGCATAAAAAAGTACATAAAAGTGGTGATGATGTTTTAAGGTCACAGGAAAATTAGGTGAGAGATCCATAGTACAAAAATACCCTTTCATAGTGATGATGATGTTTTCAGGTCACAGATGGATTAGGTGAGAGATCCATAGTACAAAAAACTGTCAAAATGCTGATGTTTTTTTAGGTCACAGATGGTTTTGGGTGAGAGATCCATAATTTAGAAACCCCTGTCAATTTGATGATGATGTTCTCAAGTTACAGATGGTTTGAGCAAGAGATCCATAGTATAAAAACCCCTGTCCAAATGGTGATGATGTTCTCAAGTTACAGATGGTTTGGGGCGAGAGATCCATAGTATAAAAACCCCTGTCAGTGTGATGATGATGTTCTCAAGTTACAGATGGTTTGGGTGAGAGATCCATAGTATAAAACCCTGTCAAAGTGATGATAATTTTCTCAGATTACAGATGGTTTTGGTGAGAGTTCAATAATATAAAAAAAACCTATCAAAGTGATGATGATGTTTTCAGGTCACAGATGGTTTGGGCTAAAGAGATCCATAGTATAAAAAAAACCTGTCATGGTGATGATGATGTTCTCAAGTTACAGATGGTTTGGGTGAGAGATCCATAGTATAAAAAACCTGTCAAAGTGATGATGAATGTTCTCAAATTACAGATGGTTTGGGTGAGAGATCCACAGTATAAAAAATCCTATCCAGGTGTTGATGACATTGTCAGATCACAGATGGATTGGTTGAGAAATCTATAGTATAAAAAAGTCCATAAAAGTTGTGATGATGTTTTAAGGTCACAAGAAAATTAGGTGAGAGATCCATAGTACAAAAATACCCTTTCATAGTAATGATGATGTTTTAAGGTCACAAGAAAATTAGATGAGATATCTATAGTACAAAAATACCCTTTCATAGTGATGATGATGATGTTTTCAGGTCACAGATGGATTAGGTGAGAGATCCATAGTATAGAAACCCCCGTCAATTTGATGATGATGTCCTCAAGTTACAGATGGTTTGGGTGAGAAATCCATAGTATAAAAAACCTCCTGTCATAGTAATGATGATGTTCTCAAAGTACAGATGGTTTGGGGAGAGATCCATAGTATAAAAACCCCTGTCATAGTAATGATGATGATGTTCTCAAGTTACAGATGGTTTGGGGAGAGATTCATAGTATAAAAACCCCTGTCATACTGATGATTATGATGTTCTCAAGTTACAGATGTTTTGGTTGAGAGATCCATAGTATAAAACCCTGTCAAAGTGATGATAATTTTCTCATGTTACAGATGGTTTTGGTGAGAGGTCAATAATATAAAAAAACCTATCAAAGTGATGATGATGTTTTCAGGTCACAGATTGATTAAGTGAGCGATCCATAGTACAAAACACCCTGTCACAATGATTATGATGTTTTCAGGTTGCAGGTCACAGATGGGTGAGGTCTGTAGTATAAAAAATCTTGTCTATGTGATGATGTTTTCAGGTCATGGATCAGGTGGGTGAGAGATCTGTAGTATTCAGTATCAAATTCAAGTAATTATGTTGGTTGCAGTTAATAAATGAGTTGGATGTAAGCTCCACAGTATGAAACCCTATGCCCAAATGATTCATTTAGTAGATGGAGTGAGTGAGAGATGCATAAAAAACCTGTCAAATGACAATACTGAATTCAATTGCAGATTGACACATAGTATAAAACCCCTTATCCAAGTGATGGTTTAGTATTCAGTTTGTAGATGGGTCTGATGAGAAATCCATAGTATAAAAAACCCTGCCAAATTTATTATGTTGTTTTCATGTCAAAGATGGAGATTTAATGAGAGGTCCATAATATAAAAAGCCTCTCATTGTGATGATGTGTTCTGTTTGAAGAATAATAGATGAAAGGTACTCCCCATCCTATCGATAGTGTTGGTTTCAGTTATTACATAAGTTGGACAACAGATGCAGAATAGAGAAAAATAACTGCTAACATAATAAGGTTAAATTTAACTTGCAACAGAGTTGAATGATCAATATAGTACTTAATAGAAAACCTATTTCTCCATGTGATGACGTTTCAGTTTGAAGATGGATTGGGTGAGAGTCTAGAGATACATAATATATAAAAATCCTGTTCAAGTGATGAGGATGATGATGTGTTCAGCTTGCAAATTTGTTGAGTGAGAAGCACATAGCATTAAAACTTCTTCCAAAAGTATGATGATGATGTATTCAGTTAGTAGATTGGATAGATGAGAAGTAAATAGCAGTGATATTTGAGTTTCAAAAAAAATTATTTTTGTTTTTATTTCATTTTACTTGTTAATAGTAGTTTTAGTTTCGGTGTTACACTTTTAGTTTTTCTTATATAATAATAGTTTCTATTTTAGTTTTGAGTATTTGACATTAATTTTAGATTCTATTCCATTTTGTGTTTTAAATCAAAATCACTTGTTCATAGGATAATTCTTTTAAGTGTATAATTACTAGTAATTACTTTGACAATTTACATCTGGTGATGTGAACAATATATGAATTAAATTAAAAGTAATAAAAATATAATTTTAGTCATTAGTCCCTTTTTTTTAAAAAAGAAAACTTAAAAATTTACCAGTTACCTATATATATTCCAGAGTCCATACCATAACCACAACACTCATTACAGTAACTAGTGACCAGACAGCAGAGATAAATATTTAAACTTACAATATACAACTTACAAAACAATTTTGAAAAATAACTTATAGTTATTAGTCTCCATTATGATTGTGAGTATGTGACAAAAAGGCTTACTCTGTGCTTACAGTTATGCCTAGTAATAAACTGGATAACATTCATAGACTGACCCTTATTGCTCTTTCCAATACCATAAGATAATTTAAAACATTTGCCTTTGAGAGAAAATTAGTTGAAAGCTGAAACCTTTCCAAGTGAACAACTTCTTACCAACTACTGTTGTCTTTTTAAGATTTTTAATTTTCGTTTAAGTAATACCTTTTTGTTTTCATATCCATTTTAGTTTTTGTTCACGTAAATTCAAACTTTTTCGTTTTTATTTCATTTTCGTTAACGAAAATAGCGTTGGTAAATAGCATTAAAACTTCTTCCAAAAGTATGATGACGTATTCAGTTAGTAAGTCAAATAGTTGAGATGTACATAATATTAAAACTTACAAGAGTATGATGGTGTATTCAGTTAGTAGATGGTATAGGAGAGAGGTATGCAGTGGTGGGATTCAGCCGGTTCGCACGAGTTCGTGCGAACCTGTTCTTAGAATTTAATGACCTCCACGAACCGGTTGTTAACATATTTTCTATCATGATTGTTACTTAAATATACATCAAAATATAAAAAATAATTAAATAAACATACTAATAAGT